CCGTCCCCCCACCCGAGGCTGGAGCTCAGCGGCGGAGGTGGCCGTGCCGCTGTGAGCCGACCGACCGACCTGAAGGTTGGGGGGCGGGGGTTCACCGCCTATGGTAGGGCCAGCGCTCCGCTCACCCTCTGGGCACCCCTCGTTTGGCCCCCACAGCTAACAGTAGCAGGGCCGAACGCGGCCCACCGGCAGGGCGCAGAGGGGGAGGAGGCGCGCGCCTGGGACGAGCAGGTCGCCCACGAGGGAGGGGTGCGCCCGCCCACTGCCCTGCTGGCCTGCACTGACCCCTCCCGTGCCGCGGGTCAGGACCCTCGGTGAGTGCCATTCCCTGCAGGGGAAGAAGGGAGGGGACAGGGCGGGGTGAGGCCCACAAAAGCGGATGAGGCTGTACCTGCGCGCGCACCCCGACCTCTGACCCTGTGGCTTCATCCCTGACCCCTGTCTGACCTGACTGTATCTTGTTAAACCCCAAACTCCTCTCGACCATCGCATCAGGGCCTTCAGTCCGGCTCCTGACCTGATCGAATTCTGGTCTGGTATAATCCTCATCCACTGTTTTGTCCCCCTAAGCCCAGTTATGACCCCCAAGCCCAGCTAGCTCTATCCTCAAGATCCTTGTCTGATCCCAGATCTTTGCCTGACCCAGCCCCATCTGGGAAGTTCACCTTGTTCTGTCCCAGTGCCCCACGCTGACCCCAGTTACCATCCTCATATTTGACCTGTCCCTACAATGCTACTCCAGTTTTTGAATCCTTCCACTTGTGTCCTGTTTCCCAACCCTAGTCTGGTGAATTTTGTCCTCATTCCTGACCTCTTCTTTACTTTTTCCCTGTCCCTCTCTCAACTCCTGGTCTCTATCTTGGCTTTCCACCTTTATACTGCCCCCTGTCTTCTGTCCTGTCCCCATCCCCAACCCTGTCCTGTTTTTCCTCTTGTCTCATCACTACCTCATTCCTGTCTTCAGTCCTGGTCTTTTCCTGCTCTTGACCTCCGACTTATACCTCCCCTTTTACCTGTCTTCTGCCTTGGCCTGTACCAGTCATGCCTTCTATACTGGCCCTGACCTCTGCCCTACTGTTTTGCCTTCTTATCGTGCTTCCCCCCCCCACTCCTTATTGTGCTTTAAGTCTTGTCCTGAACCTCCCATTATCCTTCTCTGGCCAGCATCCTGGCTCATTCCCTGTCTGGCCTTTTGTCTTCCATCCTTTGATGACTCTTTCTTACTCCCTGCACTCCTTCCTGTCTTGGCCTTTCATCCTATCCCATTCCAAACCTCAGACCCCTGTTCTACCCCTTAACATGCCCTTCCAGCCTTTTTGGACCTTTCTCCTCCCCAACAACCAATTCCCATCCCTTCTGAGTTTAGGACAGGGGTCCCATTATACCCTGTTCTGTTCCCAGGACTTCAGAAGTACATCCCAAATGCTTCACTTGACAAACACAAGCTGCCTGTGAGCCCTATGTGGCTGATGGAGTCTTTGTATGTGATCTTTCCTTCCCCACTCCCACCCTAGTGATCTCACTTAGATTACATTTATTTTTTTTTAATTTTTTTTTAATTTGTGTGTGTGTGTGTGTGTGTGTGTGTGTG